GGTGGACTAACATCATTGGATCATAAGTGTGACACTGTGTCTCTCAAGTCATGATAAACTCGAAGACGGTTAAGGCCTATAGGCCTCATATCACATCTTTACGTTAAGCTGTAGGGTTAGACACTAGCATTCACTATGCACTTCGATTTGCCTTTCTTGAGCCAGTTTGATCAATAACCAAGGATTATGATATGGTGTTTGCGTAAGAGGAGCACCATCGATCTTGAAAGATGAGTGGGCCAGCAGGCAGGCATGCTGCTAAACCTTTGTGCCCAATCAATAAAGGTGTGCTACGACTGGGTAACACACCTAAGTTTCTTGAGATGGGATAAGTATGATATAAGGTATCCATCATGTGTGCGGGTAGCTTAGAATAAGGCTAAGGGCTGAGGTCTTAAGTTATGAGTTTCATAGGATGAAATGAGCCTTGTGTGGCTTTGAGCTAGTTGTTGATTAGCATTTGTATTGCGCCTTCGGGTTTGAAGCATAAGAGCTTACAGATGATCCAAACGGGCATAGTGTTAAGTCCTCACTATGCCAGAGTAAAATAATATTATGAGAACAGGGGCTAAAGCCTTTACGATCCAGACAGGTCAATGCTCGAGACTTTGATACCTATTGGTAGAGATGAGTGCTTGAGGCCACTATGAGATTTGTCTATTGAGAATCATGATGGGAGTTAGGTTTTTTCCTATAGAGTTTGGGAATGAAGCGTGTGACTCTATAAGATCAAAACCATGAAAGGTTCACGAGTATGCAGTTTGAAGGATCAATATCAAGCTATCAACGAAAAAATTGACTCGTGAATAGCTGACCTCAACTATGAGTAGTCTTAATGTAGCACGGATACATGGTTTTAATTTAAGGAATGAACAACCCATGACATGAGGTAGTAGAGCCTAGTTTGGCTAACTATGGGACTAAATTGGTCTAAGTATGGGCATTATAATAATAGATCGAGATGGTGCTAAGCTCAAAATGAGCTATTGAGACTGAAAAGTAATATAGTGGCTATGTGGGCTCAAGAATAAGCCATTGATGAGTACTATAAGAAAAATTGGCTGAGGTGGAAAACCTTCAAGTTGACTCTTAGATGCCAAGCAAAAATTACGGGAGTTTAGCTTCACCTAACCAAAATTGTTGGCACGTGTAGGCATGTGATGCCCTTCTAATGAAAAAATCATGTTGAGATCAAACTGCGAAATGGGCCTACACCTTGAAATGGTGTTTGAGCAAGGCCATGTGGGCCAAGACACATGAGGTCCTAAAGGACATGAATTGAGCTTATTGAGATTAGTTATTAACGTATGCACTTATTGTGTGCTATAGGTGCCCTAGTGAAGGTACAAGCTGAATGTTTGAGGTCCAAGCGTGGAGCCACCCTATAAAGGTAGATAAGTTTGTGTTGGTTAAGGATTGAAGCCATGAATTGATAATGATTGGTGGACCATGAGTTTTAGTGATTGAAAGATCACGAGATTGTGCTAATCAGTAGACCGTGCTTATGTTGGCTGAAAAGAAGGCCTTATGAGATGTGGTGGTCAACAGACCATAACAGTGAGCAGTTCAGTGAAACAAGCAAGCAGAAATTAGCCAGTTGGCAAGGTTTTAAGTTATGTGGGTTAGAGGATCGATTGAGTTGAGCAAAGCTAATGTATTGATATTCAAGTTGTATCTGATCAACAGATTGAATGAGTTTGAGTAAGGCAGAGAAAAGTTGATGGCCTATGGGATGGCCTTTGAATAGTTGAGTTAAGCCAAATATGAAGTCTTTGAATAGTTGCTGGCCTATGGGATGGCCTTGAGTCCAAATGGGTTGGTGAACCTTGGAGTCGAGCAAGTTAGTGGATAGTGAGATTGATTGGGTCGACGGATCCTGGAGCATTGTGTAGGCTTTGAATTGTCCTTTGAGATATACCAAAGTCAAGGTAAATGAGTTATAGAACCATCATGGAGACATGGTTGTGTGCATGTCGAGCTAAGTTCATGTAAAAGTGGGGGAGACTTGTGATTGCATGTGGAATTGAGCCAATGAGGTGAAGTTTATGAGATATCTATGCATGAGTTTGAGTTCAAGATAGCAAGCATTAAGGTGTTGCCATAAAAGTGGTTGGCCAAATGGTTATACATAGAAAGGTGACCTTGAAGGGACCAAAAAAACCTAAGTTGTGAGATGACTGAAGTGTTTGGATGCCACCATGCCAGGACCTATTTTGGGTGATGTTGTATAAAAGCAATTGACCTAAGCACCATGTTTAAAGGGGCGCATCGAAGACTCAGTGCTTCAAGAGTGAGGTCAATGTGATGGGTCACATCTAGAGGGGCACAGCAATGTGTGGCAAAGTAAATAGTCATTCATTCTACTAAGGGTTATGATTGATAAGGGTGCCTTGAGGTCACAACATGATGTGATCATGGGTGACTTAGTGTAATGGCACATACGAGAAATGGATTGAGTGTAGATCAGAAGTGGAATTTGGATAAAGATGCATTGGAGTTGGTATGAGATCCATCGACATCGACAATGAACGAGTATTATGGGTGGGGGCTTCATGTGACGGGATCTTGACCTAATCTTTGAGGGCACAAGTAAGAGATATATAGGAAAATGTCAACTATGTGTAACAAAAAAATTAGGTGTGGTCTTAGCATCGATATGGACATCGACATAGTAAGTGAGGGAGAATGTCATGGTTAGGCCTTAGTATGCCTTAATCCTACCATAACTGACCCTGAGCTGAGTAACAGACAAGGTTTTTTGATCAAGACAGTGGTCTTAGAAATGTGTCTGAGCAGTGTAAATTGGGAACATATTGTTGATATAGTGTGTGGGTGATGTGAGCCCTAGTTCCTAGGATACACGAGCAAATACGAGCTAGTGGGCAGGCATTTTGGAGCTAGGTAGCCACTCGAGTGTTATCGATCGAAGTTGTGCACGAGTACCTTTGGTGGGTTAGTTGAGCAACAAGTGGAATGCTGAAATTATGGTAACCAAGAGACATGTCACTGGTTCCTAATTTGGTTGAAGAATGACCCTTAAGATAGTTGAGGAAAAAAGTATCCCAAGTTCAAACATTCTTATGGTTCATGGTAGAATGACTTAAAAAGCTCTTACGCGTTTTATAAAAGGATGACTAGTGTCAATTCTCTACCATCCCCTTAGCTAACTGACAAGCGAAGGTTTGGCTAATTTGAAACTACTATTAGGCATATGTGTCATCTAGGTGGACGGGTATTGTCAGGTTATGAGTGTGGCACGGTATCTCCTTAAGTAATGGTAAACTTTGGGATGATTGGGATCGATGGGCTTCGTATCGCGCCTTTACATTAAGCTGTAAAGTTAGACGCTAATATTCATTATGCCTCTCGGTTTGCCCTCATTAAGCTAGGGTGATCAGTAACTAAGGATCACAAGATGATGTTATCATAAGAGGGATACCATCAAATTTGAAGAATAAATGAGCTAGCAGCCAAGCATATTACTATACCTTTATGGCCAATTGGTAGAGGTGTGTTGCTACCAGGTAGCACACTCAAGGTCCATGGGGTGAAATGGACATGATTTAAAGTATCTATTATGCATGCGATCAGCTTAGAATGAGGTTAAGGGCTAAACCCTAAAATATGAATTTCGTAAAATGAAATAAGTTTTATGTGACTCTAGACTAACTACTTACTAGTATTTATATTATATCTTCAAATTTGAGGCACGAAAGCTTATAAATAATCTAAACATATATGGTATTAAATTTTTATAATGTTAAAATGAGATAATATTATAAAAATCGAAGTTACGAGCTCTTAAGAGCGAAGCGATCGATGCTCATAACTTTTATATCTGCGAGCAAAGGTAAGTACTCAAGATCACTTTGAGATTTATAGATTGAGAATCGTGACGGGAGTTAGATTCCTTTCTACGAGGTTTGAGAATGAAACGTGTGATCCTACGCAGTCAAAATCATGAAGGGCTCACGAGTATGTAATTTGAAAGATTGATATCGGATTGTCCATGAAAAAATGAACTTGCGTGGTTGACATTGACTGTAAATAATCTTGGAATTGTACGAACGTATGATTTCGATTTAAGGAACGCGGGCCCATTCCCTCTGCCTGTCCTGTTGTTGAATTTATTCTTCTGCTTTTCCCATAACAATGTGACACCTTAATTTATTCTGATTAATTATTGTACCTGGACGGCCCAGTATTAAACAATAATTAATGCACATATATTCTTTTTTAATAGCAGTATACTTAATTTTTACTACCACTAGTACAAATAATAGTGGTATAAATAAATATATAATTTATAAGTAATTTTTTCAAATGAATAAATAATTTAAAATAATTTTATAAGTGCGGTATATATATCATTATAAAATATTTTATCATCACAAAAAAATAATTTTAATAGCTAAAATATATAAACATAAAATAAAAATTCATTAAATTTGTGATGCTAGTTAATAAAATATTTATAAATCAAAATCCAAAATTAAATATTAAATTAAACTTTATCTAAACGAAAAAAAAATCCCAAATTTTGAATTTCAATATCTAAAGTACTCCTTTAATCTCAAATTTATTCCAAACAGTAACGTATATCAACATACTTATTAAACCCCTCAACCATGGAATTAACTTTCATTTTAAGAATAGAAAAATAGATTCAAAATTAAATTGATATGACAGTTTTATTATCCAAAGCAGATACAAACAAAAAATATGTAGAAAATTAATTATTAGGGCCCTTTAATTCCTTATTCAAATCCAGTTATACTGATCTAAAACTTTATTTGATTTTGTGGAAAAATGATCCATCTATTTTATTTTTTGATCAGAATTTGAGCTAATTTAAAAGCAGCAGTATATAAAACAAATTAACCTTTTTTCCTTATACACGTACCTCTGCCCTCTGTTTCAACACAAAATCATACACGATAATAGGCGCATGTAGTTAAGAGCGTTAAGGTCAAAATCCATAACAAGAATTAAGCGCAGAGACAAAAGACAATTATATATATATATATATAGGAACATTAAGATGATGAACCTTATCTATATATATATAAAAGCTAGTTGAATCCGATACTAAGCCAGCTTGCTATCCTGTCCACTAGGCTCAAGGCCAGTGGAGCCAGCATACGGGTAACCCTGGGCAGTGTAGGATAACTGAGTGTCCCAAGTATGAACCAATTGAAGCTCAAGAGGGCAACTGCATCAGAAGCAGGTTTGTTCTTTATAGTGAAGAAAAACTGAATAACACTTTTAAGTGACATGCCAACTACAGTGAAGAGAGCCACCACAAGAGGCATGCAAGGATCTTCAGCTTCCCACGCAATCATTCCAACCAAAAGCGATAAAATTGCACTAAAAAGAGTTTGTGAAAGTGCAATCTCTCTTCGTTGTTCAAGAAGTGTGTCGACATCTAAATTTGGAATAACACTGGGCGTAAATGGTTGCAGTACAGATCCGCTTGGTGCAGGGCCAGCTTTCAAGAAATCCAACAGTGCAGCATTACTCTTGCTCCTCTCCTCCCATACTTGTTTGTTCATCATCAGGTCTTGGAAGGAGATGCCACTTTCCTTATAACTGGAAATCCATGATGCAATACAACTATAGGGAATGACATGATTGTCAACAGTATTAACACCTTTGCTTTTATTTGTCTCATCATCATCATGACCTTTAAAGGTCCATGCTGCTTTGCCTTGAATTTCTTTCAGCCGAAGGTTTTCATCCTTTAAATCCTGCAACTGGTACGCACAATATATATTTTCAGCATATGCTGCCGAAAGATACATTCAATGGGTGTACATGAACTTGTTGAAAATTGATCAATATTCGATCTTCTAACTTCCAAACAGTTTATAATATTTACCTTACTCTCCAATAGTTCAATCCTGGCAACAGCCTTGTCATGTTCCTCTTCAAGTTCTATTGACATCGACTCCATAAGTCTGTGTTCTCTAACAGCCTGTTGGAGATGGTCCTCCAGCTCTTTCCTGTCCCAAACAAGAGTCTCCAGCTCAAACTGCATCTCATGCTGGTGCTGGTGCTGTTGCAGCTGCAAATCATACCATGCTTCTTATATAAATTATGAGGAAAATGCAGACTAAACTTTAAAGGCAAGTTAATTAAGGAACTAAAGAATATTGACATATGTAGGAAAACTTGCAGATGACTAGCTAAAGCAAGCATGTAACAAGTGCAGGTAATTAAATACAAGCTCATGTCATAGTCTAAAGCAACATAAATTTAAATATCAATCTTTTCAGTCCATAGCAATGATTAAATAGCTAGCAGAGAATTTATGTCAATAATTAGCAGCTCCTTGATGAGAATGAAAATTTTCATAAACGAAAAAACATACATAAAGCTTCCCTTATTAAAGGAAACCAAAAGAAAAACAATTATCTTGCATTCATTGCCAAAAGCCCCAAAGTTGGTTTCTATTAATGGACAAATGTTGCAAATATAGAAGACCAGAAATTCCAGTCGTCATATCTTAAAACTGGTAGATACTCAAACACCAATGAACAGCTGAAGTTGACATTTAGTTGATTACTCTGAAGAGTGAAGAGTAAGTATTGCATTCATCAAAAGATTTATCTTTTGTCTTTCTTTCTATCAAAAGAAGGAGTAATCTAATCTCTATTTTCATAATTGAGTAATTATGAAATAATTATTTTCTCTTAATAGGTATGGTGTTCCTTGCCAGTTGCCAAGCTGAGTCTCCTTCAAGGTATGCAGGGCAAGCTCTATCAAGACCAAAGTAATTTGAATTTGACACCTCCCACCCCAAAGAAATATATATATATATATATATATATATATGTGTGTGTGTATATATATATATATGAAGCTAGCCCAGATGTACTAAAATTCTGCTTTTGAGCAACAAATTTGTCTATAAATGATTTTCTTTTTTTGCAATTAAAAGCATTATAAAGGGAAGAAGATTAAGCCTATCTAGAACGGTTTAAATCCATTGCATATAAAATTTCTAAGCAAAGCATATTGAAACAAACCAGTCTTTCCCTCTGCAAGGCAGTCAACACTCGTATTGGAAGAGATATAAGAGCAACCGTCCAAATTATTGCTTTCCAGAAGATATTCACATGGAAGGAAACTGCTGCCTTTACCAACTCCATCCAGGTTTGAAAAACAATTAGGATGGTTTTCATACAAAACGTGCATACCAATTTGCAAAGTGAAAATGGCATGGTTACTACAATTGTTAGGTTAGTCATTAACTTGGAAACAGCTATTATCCACCAAATCACACGCCGGCATACTGCATAACCTTTATTAATTAAAGGTTCAGCTGGCAATGCTCTGCATAAATTAGATAATGGTGTTACACCTTCATCATTTTGTTTAAGATACCATAAAAGTATGCAGCCCTCAAGAAAAACCAAATGTAAAAAAGAAAGAGCATAGCAAAGCGCAGTGAAATAATATTGTACATATGGTCATCTTTATGAAACAAACATATCTAGCTGAAGAAACCTTCTGATCGTATTTTTAATTTTAGCAAGTAATGGTCGTTCCTAAGAAAACTCAGCATATGATACATGAATGGACTCCGGCATAATAGAGACGAGGTACATCAAGATCGCAAAACACAGACAACAGAAACTATCCAGAGACCAAAAAACCTATGTGCCACGTAAGCTCCTGCGCACAATGTTCATTATACACAGCAGCTATCATTGTCTGTTTACCTTCTTTACAAGCTTCACTGGATCAACTGGAGATAATAAATGAACAAAATCTGACTCTAGATTGAATTCAAAGTTCAAATGCCTGCAGCGGTCAACTGAAGCCAATACTAAAGCACACAAAAATTAACTATACTTTGTTATAATTTATAAAGATGACCAATATAAGGGGACTATTATTTTATTGGAATTAATTAATACAAGACGTGGACAACCAGAACAAGTCAATCTAAAAAAACTGCCTCAAAAGTCAAAGAGTCTAAATATAAAGAATGAAAATCTCAAACATGAGAATATTCCTGCATTAAGAAAACCACGATACGGGTTTTTTAGATTTCCAAACTTTATTATTTTCTTCGTTTTCTGAAGAAATGGTATTTCTATATATTCATTACGGGAAAGTGCAAAAATTACAGTTTGCAAAATCGTTATCCAAAACCTCAAACAAGAGAAAAATTTTAAATGCTGCAAAATAGTAAACATAGGGAAAAGTTACTAGACTAAACTGTTAAGAGTTGGCCAACAAGAGTATATTTTAGGAAAGTAAATGAGGATTGAAGCATTTAATAACACTGGAAGGGGGGCATTTTAGACCTCTCAATGGATCCATAGATAGATAGAGAGATAGATAGATAGGATGTAAAATTAGCATCAAAACTTAAAAGGGGAAAGAAAGAAACTAATTTCTAAAAAAAAAAAAAAAATCTAATTTCTACAATTGTTGGCATTAAGAAATTAAACAAGCACAATCACATTCATTAAAACCTTAAATATACTCAAAAGAAAGAAAAGCATAACGAAGATAAAGAAAGACGGAAGGAAAGCAAGTTTGAAAACTAGGAGGCAGGAAAAATCCAAATTGGGGCAGAACCCGGGAACTGTTTACACTTTACACACATACTTACATACATACGTACGTGTATGTCTACAAACCTAAGGTCATAGCGAGCCCAGAAACCAGAACAACACGGGTGAAAGAAGTGCTTACAGAGAAACTGAGAGCAGTAGCAGATTATAGATTTCATTGGAAATTATAACTCAAGTCCTTTTGAGTCTTTCACTCTTTTGAGAGAGACAGAGAGCGCACTTGGAACTTAAGATGGAAGTGAGAAGCAGTTATAAATAGCGAAAGGTGGCAGCAAGAGCGAGCCGTGACTGACACGTATCAAACTTTACATGGAATTTATCGAAACAAAGCTCGGAGTTTGAACGAAGGAATACTGCTACTGTTACGGAATTTGATATGCAAAATTATCCATAAATTAAATAATATTATTATATTTTATATTAATTTGATGTATAAGAATTATAATTAAATAATTTTTTAAAATTTATATAATAATATAATTTTTAAGACATAATAAAATATGTAAATTTAATTCAAAAATTACGAATAATTATTTTTATTTTTGAAATGATTAAAGTTAAAAAATAATTAATTTTTTTGTAATTATATATTTTTAAATATAAACTAAATATCATATAAAATAATTATCATTTTATATATTAAAAACGATCGTACATTGCTATGTATATTGAAAGAGTGTATAAATAATAGTTACTAGTATTTTATTAGCTGTATATACTTATTATTCCAAAATTTTTCTGGTTCTATATCTCGTTAATATATAATATAGTACTCGTTGAAGATGTTTTAGACAGTGATGAATTGAAGCTTAACTGCATGGTGAGTTAAAAAGGTGATTGGATTTGCAGCTAGGAAGTATGATCGACGGTATCAGAGATTCAGAGTTTAATCTCGAGACTGATGCTCAAATCAGCAAATGAAGCAGATTAAGGTTAAATAAATTAAATTATTGTAAAATAATTCATTGATGAAATATTAGTGAAAGTAGTTAGGTTAATTTTTTTTTTCTAAATTCATGCTTAGATTATAACTTAATCAAAATTTAAAATATAGATTTCCATAAAAAAAATTTAATTAATGAATTATTATATATTAAAAAAATGGGTAAATGTTGGATAAGTGAAGCACGTCAATGAAAGCATCATTGTTGCTGAAATTTTCAAACCGGTGGACAACTTTTTGGGAGATTATGCTTTTCAATCTTGTTTTGGTTTAAATTAGTCAGTGTTTAAGAAGAGTTGGAGATATGGCTTAAGCAAGAAAAAATAATTAAAATAAAAAAAGAATAAACGCTTAGAAAATGGAAAAGAAAATACTAACGGCATATTTTCGTTGTTAGTTTGTGTTAAATAACGTGGAAAGCGTTAGAGCCGTCTATCTCAATTTTAATGAGTTGGCTTCTCATCCAACCACAAACAGTATTCTCCAGTCCAGATATGAACAGGAGAGGAGCCCGATCCTCGTTTCACTCGCCTTTAGTTTTTACTTTGGCCCAAAAAAAAAAAAAAAAAAAACTCAAAGGAAAACATTTGTTGATGCTATCTGATTACGCACTGTAAGATCTACCTCAACACCAAAAGGAGAAGCATCGAGGCACAGTAGCCAAGCTGGAGCAATTGAAGACGATTGGTAGGGAGCTCGCTATGGGCTCTCATGGCGGATTCTATCAGGCCAAAGAATTTCTGGATCTGGTGAAGTCCATCGGCGAGGCTCGATCCAAGGCAGAAGAAGACCGAATTGTTCTCAACGAAATCGAGACTCTCAAACGCCGCATCTCGGAGCCCGACATCCCTAAACGCAAGATGAAGGAGTACATCGTCAGATTGGTTTACGTGGAGATGCTCGGTCACGATGCTTCCTTCGGTTACATTCACGCTGTTAAGATGACTCACGATGATAGTCTTCTCGTCAAACGAACTGGTTACTTGGCTGTTACGCTCTTTCTGAATGAAGATCATGATTTGATAATTTTGATTGTCAACACCATACAGAAGGATTTGAAGTCTGACAATTACTTGGTGGTCTGCGCCGCCTTGAATGCCGTTTGTAAGTTCATCAATGAGGAGACAATTCCTGCCGTGTTGCCGCAGGTTGTGGAGTTGCTCGCACATCCTAAGGAGGCTGTACGGAAGAAGGCCATCATGGCTCTTCATCGCTTCTATCAGAAATCCCCCTCTTCTGTCTCGCATCTTGTCTCCAATTTTCGCAAGGTAGCTCTTCCCATTTTGCTCATTCTATTTCTAGGTTTTAATCTAATTCTACCATTCCAAACGAATATGTTCATGCATTTTAATTTAAGCAGCATGCCACTATGTCTATGTGTATTTAACCTATCGGAAAAGCATCTTGTTTCTGTGCATGCATGTGGGTTATGTGCTGATATGGATACTACATATGGCAAATTTTGCTGCCTTTCCTCTTCATTTTTGGATTCGTTTTCCGAATGATCATTTTCCACCATTTGCATAGAAACTAGCATGATTAGGTGTATCTTATGTAATAATTTCAAATTTATCAGTAAGTAAGAGGAATTTCAAGCTTATGAACCAACTGCTAAACTTTTGTTGGGTAGAATTTACTTACACATGGTTCACAACTAAAACCAGAAATTCTCAAATACCTGCTATCATAGAATGAACTCTATTAAGGGAAGAGAAAAAAGGAAATAGAGAGACTGATATTTTAAGAAAAATGATACTCTGTAAGTTCTCAATATGTTTTATTACCATTTTCAATTTTATTAAGGTTTCCATTTTAAAATAATTGCCTTGAGAAGTTGAAATATTCTAAAATGACAAATTTAATCTTGATATATTTGATAGTTAATGTTTGTCAATATATTATTCTTGATAGACTGTCTGATTTATCTACTTAAAAAATGGCTTATCTTTGTTTCAGAGGCTTTGTGATAATGATCCTGGAGTTATGGGTGCAACCCTTTGTCCACTTCTTGACCTTATAACTATAGATGTTAATTCTTAGGAAGATTTGGTCCTCAGCTTTGTAAGCATTCTTAAACAAGTAGCTGAACGCAGACTACCAAAGGCTTATGATTACCATCAGATGCCAGCTCCATTTATTCAGGTAATTGTATTTTAGGTTTAACTTGAGATTTTAGTAGCTTAATAATTTTCCAATTGAAAATGTAGGACATATGACAATCATAGTTGCATTTGGCTGATCAAATTGCTGAAAATTATGGCTTTGCTTGGAAGTGGTGACAAACAAGCAAGTGAAAACATGTATACTGTAGTGGGAGACATATTCAGAAAATGTGATTCATCAAGTAATATAGGAAATGCTGTACTTTATGAGTGCATATGCTGTGTTTCGTCTATATTTCCCAATCCCAAGTTATTAGAGTCTGCAGCCGATGTTAGATCAAGATTTTTAAAGGTATATCTCCTTTATTTAGTGCCTGCTTTGTGGAAGTTCAGAGTCCTTATAGTTGAGGAGCATTATGAGTTTTTTTGCCATATTTGGTGAATCATGCCAGCTCCTGTTTTTGTTGTTAGAGTGACAGTCATAACCTAAAATACATGGGCATTGATGCTCTTGGCCGATTGATAAAGATAAATCCAGAGATTGCTGAGCAACATCAACTGGCTGTGATTGATTGCTTAGAGGTAAAAAGTTTTTTTACTTTAAATTCTGGACATGGTAGCTAGTCTTCATTTCATTTTTTTTACTTTTTATGTTATTTACTAACTTCGGGATACTTTAATATGATTAAACTTGTAGAGGCTGGGATTTATTTATCTATTTCCTAAGTGCTTGTGCTATATGGTCTGGTTTAAGCTTACTTGGTTCTGTTAAATGATGCGGTTATGTATGTTATAGCAGAATAGTTGTGTTTAGTGTAAATTCCTTGTGCGTCTATGCCATGCAATTGTTGTTCATCCATTATAATTATT